GCAAAAGCAACAAGATATAATAGGAATGGATGATGGATTAGGAAGTAGGAAGTCTGGGTATTATCATAAATTGCTGTGTGGCCACTGGACTGGTTTCCTGACTATAAAAAGAGAGAATCAGACCAAATGATCTCTAAGGTCTTCTACAGCTCAAATGTCCCTCCCTATCTCCTTTGTGGATGATCTGACTTTCAAAAATTTAATGTTTCTATTCTAATTACCTGACTGATACTGTTAATTTTTATAGGTATTTTCATATATCTTGCTTTTCCAACTACACAGTATATATTCACTCCATGAAAACCAAGATGAGTTGCTTCCCCAAACTAACAAAGTAGTAAGGCCACCCTTTGAATACTAAATCAGAAAACAATGTTTCATGGTAAAAGTGATATATAAAACCACCAAAAAGAGAGAGAATGAGTTAGCAAGCTTGTAAGACTGTTAAAACTTGCAAGGAATTTTACTAAAAGTAACAAAAGAAGTTAATTTAAAGAAATAATATGTCAATTAGAAGGTAGGTTGGTCAGTACTGGAAGCACAGATGATTTCAACTTTTATTAGGATCCCAATGACCAGGTTTTCTGATTTCAGAGATGGAACATCAGGCTCAGTCTTATACCAGTAAATTTTCACATTACAGAACCATATTCTGAGATTCCATCCTCACTAAGCAACATTCTGAATATGGTTTGGCTTCCCATGAAGATCTACCAATAGAGAAAGACTGCTCCCTATTGCCAGCAATGATTTCTTATTTTAAACTAATGAAGTGACATTATGATTTTATATACTGGCATAATGAACCCACCCAAGAAACAGACCCATGGTGTGCCAACTGTCCCACCAGTAGGCCTTGGTAAATTCCTCCTGATAAAGTCACTCTGTGAAGCTTTTTGAAAGACAGATCACAGAATTTTTCTATATGAAACATCTGAAAACTATAAAGTTCCATAAGAAAGGAATCATGTGATCCTTCTTTAAATCTCTGAGGCCAGCTAGCTATACTACCTGGCATCTAGTAGAGCTTGCTACATAAGCGCTTCTTGATTGCTTCTTAAACTTTTCCAAAAAGCCAGTTATTGCATAATACAATTTTCCATACCCTATAGCAGTATGATAAGCACTTCACTCTGAATACATGACCAACAGTGTGTTAAGAAAAGAAAGAAAGGGAAGATAGAGCTAGAAAAGTGGTAAAGACTGAAAGAAAAAGCAAAACCAAAGAATTAGAACCATTTCTTTCAGCAAGCTATCCTATTCTATTGCTCCTCTTTCATAGTGACTGATTTTTACAGCCTATCTTATCTGGATCTAGAGCCAAGATCTTACCCATGCTGTGAGAAACTGGCAGTTTGACAGCACTGCCTGAAGTTCCCTGGGCCGAGGCTACACAGTTTCCAGGAGTAAAGTTACCTAGCATATAAAGCACACACATTCCCACAGTAGTCTCTTGGTACTAAAAAGAGATATTTATTATATACAGTCTAGAATGGCTTTGATCAAATGAAAAACTGCTTATGGGCTTTGGACTACCCTTTGAACATCACTGCTCTATAATGACTAGAAGTAATAATAGTGACTAAAAGTAATAATTAGAAAGGCTCATTCATTAACTCCGTAAAACTTACTAAAACTTCTGCTCTAAGCCAGGTCCTATGTTAGATTTGGGGGGTTAAAGGTATGAAGAGACATTGTCCCTGCCTTTAGAGACTTTGGAAACAAGTAAAGAGAGTAAATGTAACAGTTTTATGTTGAATTTAAAGTTACTGTTATTTTGGGATTGCTAAGTAGCATGGAATAGTCACCTAGCATTGACCTTCAAAGATCTTATGGGGGGTAGCGCCACATTATATGCAGCTTCCTTAGATGTAAAGCTATGGCAGATACAAATAACAGTAATCATTTTTATTTTCAAAGCACTTTACATATTACAAAGTTCTCTTACATCCGTTATCTAATTCAATCCTCAAAGTAACCCTGTGAAGGATGAAAGGATTATTATAAATAGAAGAAATTAAGTGCTTAGAGAAGCGACCAGCCCTTACAAAACGAGTTAATTAGTAACAGAAACCTAGATTCGCAGTTCAAAGTTCATTTTACATATCATGATTCCGTTATCATCCAAATTTTGAAGAAAAGCCAAGTGACTCATTTACAGCCATAAGAAATGTCTAGAATATTCCTTGGGCCTGCAAAATACGTTAATAATATGTACATTTAATATAAAATATTTAGTAACCTGAAATGGAAAAATTATGCAAAAATCAACACAAATAATGACTTATGAAGACTTTAAAAAAAGTTTATAGTTCCATGATTCTCCCCCATCCTTAAACTTCCCCAAATTTCCTCATATAGCAATAAATTCTGGTTTGCCAATAATTTATTTCACAAATCTTTTATGATTCAAAAACACAGTCAGTAAAATTCCTACAAAGCCATCAAAGGCAGATGTTTTAATCAAACCTGCAAAGCTGAGGAAACTCCCAGAAATCACTCTACCATCTGGGAACTTGTAACCCTGTTGCTTCATTTTCAAGTTCAAAGAGGTGAACAGTAAATGCATTTAATAGTACAAAAATTCAAGTTTTCCCAATCCTTAAAATACTGAGACCATTATTCAAGTAAAAAGGAAAAGCCACTATAAAAGGCTCAAAAACATATTTATCCAGCAATAAACCTTAAATAAAACTCTTTCCAAAATGGAATTTAGGGTTAAAGCCAACAGGTCCATGAAAAATTCCAATATCCATTCGGGTGAAAGATAATTCTTTCATTAAAGTGGAGCACTTGTCCTTTTGTAATTGCTTTTCCGCTCTAAGAGGAAAAAAACACACCTTCACTGAAATCATTGTATAAAAACACAACTAATTACAAATATAACAATTAGTATAGTCTTATTTTAAAATTTACTGAGAAATAATTTCAACACAGTCACCAAAAGCTTATGCTTCCTCTGGTATCAGCCATATACTATATAAAGTTAAATGGGCTGTCTTGTCAAAGTCTAAGGTAACTGACTCTAAAAATATACTTTTTCTCATTCTGAACTAGTCAGATTGGTATTTAAATAAAACGTCATTAAATGTTGCACTAAATATGCAAGGATGAAAAGGTTACTTAAATACAAACTCTCCAAATGCACCACACAGAAACTGCCCCCAGCCACAGACGATTGTATGATTGCATTCAAACACAACCCTTCTCCCCAGGATACACACACCACAAGAAAACAAAAATTTTAAAGCAGTACAGACAATGAAATATGAGAATAGAATTGATACCTGGAAGAAACGTTAGAGTTTATAAAGTCCAATGACTACAAGATAAACTGGAAAGACATCTAATATTAAGTATCAGCTGGGGAGGAATGCTTTATTTTTCTTTAAAGTTACTATATCTACTTAGTTCCTACTTTAGTTTTAGGCTGAGAGGTTCTAATGTGAAAAAAAAAACAATAAAAAAAACCCTCTGACATCTAAATTTGGTACTAGGGCAAAAATATACAAATCTACTAACAAAAGCTCTTATTAAAAGAGTTGTTGCCTTCCAGTCATTGAAAGCTCAGCTTGATTAGCCATTTCCAGAAAATTAAACAGAGATTTCCTCATTTCCGTAACATTCCCACAAAATCTTTTCCAAAAACTTTTCTGTAAAATGGAACCCTACTGCAAGAAAAAATTAAAAGGGCTCAGTACCCCCCCACACACAAAAAATCTACTGATTTAACATCAGTTTTCCATAAAAATTAATCTTCATGAGTCCCATATCTGAACTAGAAATTGACAAGCAAACTGTGCAAATCTGAACAGGTTACATTCTCTGATATATATGAAAAAAGGGAATTTTGTTTTCTTAGATCTGTGCCACTTAAATAAAGGGGAATTGTATACAGCTTTTTTTCAGAATCTAACAGAAAAGGTTTTCTACTTCAAATGGCAACTTAACAAAGCCACTGCTAACATAACTTGCAATTCCAATATGAGTTCTAAATTTTGAAACAACTTAGAATCAAATTTTCTAATACTAAATATAAAGAGCAAGCAAGCTTTTGGGAAGAACTCAGAATCTGAAGTTTAAATGCTTATATTCATACTTGTTCTCTTAAAATAAAAATGTTTAAGTAGAATACATTTGAGGTTAAAATCAAATCAATCTCTAAAACCTAAAATCATAAGAATGCCATCTTTTATTTTAAAAGGGGGTAGGAGGTTTTCTAATATGATGATGGAAAACCAAAGCATATCTGCCTGTTTTATAAATATCTATGTCCTTCCTTGGACTCAAAAATCCACATTTCCCTTGGTTTTCTTCTATCTTCAATCTCACTGAACACCACTGTCACATTCAGATTACAACATCTAGCCAAAGGCAGAGATCATACAAGTTCCCTGAAGACTTCTAAAACATTAAAACCAGTAGAAGAGCAGAGGAAATATTTTCATGCTTGGAGCTGTTGGGAAATCCTTCTCTCCTTTTAGAAAAATAAACCTCTCGCTCTAAACATAATTACTTTTAGGAACAAAACATCACTCTACATACAGATACACAGCACTCTCAATTAATAATTCTACAGATTTTGCTAGTACTTTGGCTTAAAAAAAAAAAAAAGCCTATTTAGGAATGGAACAGTATTCCAAGGATTTTTTTTTCCAGAAAGAGAATAGCAATAGAGAGAGAATCAGAATTTCTCCTTCTCTCATTCAAATATGAATTCCTTAACACTAACTGAAAGAATGCTTTTAAAAAGAATTAGTTACTACTTTATTAGATGATACCATTTAACCACAAAGAGACCATCTCAATCAACCCCTCCTATTTTAAAAATGAACTAGCTAAATATACATTGTATTTTCTGACTCAGTTGCCTAGGACCTTTCTTCCTGATATTCTAGTATTTCAGAAAGTCTCTAGCTAAAAAGAGCAGAGAAGACTAAAGACACATTTCAATGTATTTTCACCATTATAAAAATGGCAGCCATCAGCCTATCATTTAATTATTTTTCAGCTTATTTAAATGCATTTTGCTGTAAAAGAGAAATCTAACTCAATTCAAATATTCTCAATACACACACACACAAAGGCTTGGGCAAAAATACTACAACACAATCACTTTCAGTATACACATTTGTTTAGGTCTCAGTGAAGCATGGCATAAAATACAGCTTAGTTTTTCTATAAATTATATGATTTGACTGTACTTTTGCTTCATGGTTCAATGCAAAATTTTTATTATTTTTTTAAATTTATTTTTTAAGATTTTTTTTTGATGTGGACCATTTTTTTTTTTAAAGTCTTTACCGAATTTGTTACAATATTGCTTCTCTTTTATGTTTTTTGGTTTCTTGGCAATGAGACATGTGGGATATTAGCTCCTCAACCAGGGACTGAACCCACACCCCCTGCACTGGAAGGCAAAGTCTTAACCACTGAACCGCCAGGGAAGTCCCCCCAAATTTTAAATTAATGTTTAAGTTTTCACATTATTCACTGTATTGAGAATTCTCTCAAGAGAATAAGACATAAAACATTTGACTTTCTGAATGACAGTGTGGAAACCTGCAGGGTAGTTACACTTTGACAGATGTAAAGAAAATTTTAAAACCCTGTTAATTCATCACTGTATTTTAATATTTCCTGTTAAAAGAAATCAATTGTACATGAAGCTCAAACAGCTGGAAAGAACCCAGAAAAGCAACAAGAAAATGATGACTTTTAAAAATGCTGACGCTTTTCACACCCAGGTTCAGTCATGCCAGCTGGAGAGAGGTGTTAGATATGGCTTTATTCATTTTAAGTCTGAGAATTAAATACAGTCATTTCCATGACATTATGGAAATAGGAACGAAGAGCAATTTATCTTCATGGTCCTGATTCTTCTCATTTGAAAGCATTAAAAAAATCATTTCTGCAAACTTAAAAGGTATTTTGGATGGATCATTTGTTAACTATTGCTTAGAGTCAAACTATTTTGTCCCATATTTCCCAGTGAACTAGAAATACAAAAAGATAAAAAGGAAACACACACACACACACACACACACACACACACACAACACAGTGACCCAATATCTGAACCACTTCAGACATGAAATCCATTAAGGGGGCCTTTGCTCCTAACTGTGTAAGGGTCCTTAGCTATCATCTGACTTGCACAAGAAGTACACATGGCCCCTGAGAGGCGCTTTAGTCCCCTTTGGAAGACACTGTTGGAAAGACTATAAATGACACAGTTGCAGAAACTATTACTAATAGCAAGCCAGGTGGTCAAGAAGGATGCGAAGCGGTTGCTGTGGCCAGTGGAGCTCTCCAGTAAGAAGTAGATGATGTATGGCAACCAGAGGATGTAAAATACACTAGTAATTCGGAACAGGACCATGGCATAGCGCTTATCAGGACAGGCCTGCACCTCCCCAGTCTCCCCACTCTGGCTGCTGAAGCGGGCTTGCCTTTCGCTGATTTCCTTTGTGTGCTGTTGGCAGATGCGGAAGATGTTGAAATAGGTGAAGCACACAATGAGGGCTGCTGGGGCATATAACATCATCACGATGAACAGGGTGAAGTAGGGGTCGGTGTGCCAGGACTCCGCACACCACTGAAACACATCTCCATGATATCCAGGTTTGCCCCAGTGGAAAAAGGAAGGCAGGAAGACCAGGGTGGAGTATAGCCAAATCAGGAAAATACACAGACGCAGTCTCCAGGGCGTAACCAGGGTATTATAGGTTAGAGGCTTAGTGATGGCAATATATCTATCGATGCTGATACAGGCCAGAGAGGCCATGGAGACACTCTTCAGAACTGATACTACAAAACCAAATACCTGGCAAGTCAAGGACTCCTCTACTGGAAGCGGGTAGTGGAGAAGTGATAAAGAAGGGACCAGGCAGCTTACCCCAACCAAGAGGTCAGCATATGCCATAGTCTGGATAAAATAACTTGTAGTATGGTGGTTCAACAAAGGTGCACAATGAAATACAAAAATCACAATAATGTTGCCAGAAATAATCAACACAGTTAGAAAGACAATAATTAATACTTCCAAAAGGCAAAAATTGACAGTTTCCAAATAGCCAAATGCCAAGAGGCAAAAAGGGTGGCTGCTCTGATTACCATCCAAGGTAGAGTTCATCTTGAGCTCAGGAGTGATCTCTCACTTCATGCTGCCGCTTGGCTGCTGCCAACAGTTCAAAGGAGCAGCTGCTGTCATTGCGGTCAGCTCTGTGTGTCTGTAATAATGCCCGAGGAGCCTTAGTCCCCAAGCTCCCGATGCTGCTGCTCTGATGCATTGCCTGCAGTGCAATTCCCCTTTAAATCCTTCTTGGAATAGGGAGAACCAGCAGCAGTTGTCTGGCCAGTCCGAGATGCGGCCATAGTACCAGGTTTACCATACACATAGCACCAGGGGAGTTAGGCAAACTCTGTACAATGTCTTCAGGCCAATGAGGGTACGGGGTAGGGGCAGAAGGGAAGGGAGGAAGATTAGGACTTCAGCAGGAGTTGTAATGAGTCTCCTCTGAACAGCTGATAGAAGAAAAGGAAAGAGCGTTTTACATTTTGCATCCAATGCCCTAATCAAGAACCTGGCTAGCTCGAGCTGGTATCACCCCTCCCACTCTATCCCACCCCACCCGGTACAACTATTCATGGCTACCCTCAGTAGCACCCCACATAATTGGTCCTTACTCTACAGAGGAGGCGCAGCAACAGCAAGCTTTCATGATCAACATAAAACAAAATCAATCGCAAGTCAGATCAATCTAACCCCATTTCCTTTCATTTGAGCTTTTCGGGGGAGAAGAGGAATCTGCTTATAGAATTTAATTACCATGAATAAAATTAGCCAAGATAACTTATTTTCTTCATTGATTCCAATGTAATATTTTGCCTCTTAGAAAAATTTCAACAGCATTGATCTGTCTAGCTCAATTTCAGAGTATTACCTGTAATTCAGCATGCTGCGATCCAAACAAAAGCCACAGAACACCTTAACAGAAAGCCTTGCAAAGCAGGAATGTGCCTCAGCCCCGTTTACTGCAGAAATGAGACACAGAGGGAGGGGATAAAGGAGTAGGAGGGGAAACAGGGAGAAGAGGGGCTTGGGAAAAGGAAGAGGCGGGGGAGGGGAAAGAAACCGCCTGTGTGCGCACACACTCCGGCATCTTTAGCAGCTCATTAGAATTCATTGCCAGAGAGGTGCTCCCTGATTTCCAGACTGCACAGTGGGGGAATAACTTAATATGCCTGCAGGGCAGTGTTTGAAGGCTGTTTCCTCGTCTGTCTGGAATCCCCCTCTTAGTAGATGAAGCAGAATTTAGACTGCTAGTAAGGAGAAGAGGTAGTAACCAGGACAGACAGCAAGCCAGGAATTAGATTGAAACACACTGCCAGAGGGGTAATGGTGAGAGGAAATTCCTATTTTCTTGTAGCATTTCCCATAGAACAAAGAGCAATGTTAAAGAACGAAAGTGTGTTAACAGTGCGTGACAACTGAGGAATCATAATTCAGCACAAGAAGTTCTAGCTAGAAGGCTACACATTTAGCATTAATTTTCTCTCATGATTCACTAAATATGGATCTATTTTAAGAAACGTGACCAAAACAACAAACAAACTTAAAAATTGGGTTTTCAAGAGAAAAAATAAAGAAAATCCCATCTACTCTGAATATTGCAGAAATAGCACACACAAAGAGGAATTACATTATTCCTGTATTCGACACTATCCTATGGTTTTGAGATGCCATTACTTACTTCTAGATTGCTGAGAAGTGGTACACAAATATACAAACAAAAGATGGACAAGAAAATGCACCCACTTCCACCCAGGTTTGAAAATCGCAGGAAGTTTCATGGTACAAACTAGCTTTGTATCTTAGAATATACAATCTTGTTTGTGCTTACTTAACACAAGGCAAATTGGGATTTTACTGTGGCTCTTCAGGTGATGTCATAAGTGATGACAATTTTCAGCTAATTGGGAGTGTCAAATTATGACAATTTTTAGTTAATTAGAAATGTGTATTTTTTATTATCTTTTCCTCCAGGTATCTTTGGTCTCTCAATTCATCCTTCTAAGTAAAGTTTCACATAACTCAGTAGAGTAAAATAAAATAAACAAATGTTGACATTTGTAAACATTCCAGAAGGTCTGCACACCTGGATGGAGATATATGTTATGTGATCCAACTTTCATTTTTTATCTGTTTCACACACATGCTTTCTCATTGCAGGCAATGGTCACTCAATTACATTTTAAGATCTGAAGCGCTGTGCTTACTGCACGAAGGCTTAAAAACCTACTGAGCATAAGCTTGATAGCTGTAATTGACAGGTCTTATTGGAAAAGATGGCAAAGTGTGGCACAGCAAAAAGACCCATGGCACTGAACACCCATCTGGCTCAAATCCTTGCTTCCTTGCTCTAATATTACTTAGCCTCTCTTAGCCTCAGTTCTATCATCTGTAAAATGAGGATCGCACTCCCTATTTCATGATGTTGGTGAGAAATAAAGCAGACAGTGTGTACAAAAGGCTTACCAATACTTAGTACACAGCAGGTATATAACTTTACTTCCTTCTCACACAACCTCAAACAGCCTTCCTAAACAGTCTGTGTTTTCCCACCAGTCCTACTGCATTGCTTGAGGCTGGGGCTCTTCTGAATCCTGCGGTGCCCTCTCTTATTGTGACTGCCCAGTTCTAAGGGCAATGACAGTTATTTCGACACTTTGCTGCCCTGTATTCCTCAAATACATTGAGGCTATACATATGTAAGGCAAGAAGGAAAGATGGTATGGCACTAGTTATTCCCACTAGACAAATAATTTCTCTGCCTATGTCTCAAAACTTGACTTCACTCCTGAGTTCCCCTTTCCTTCTACAATTTGCCTGCTAGTCACACATCTACCTGGATGTCATATAGAGACTTCAACCACAGCATGACCAAAATTAAATACATTTTTTCCCACCAAATAAGACTCTTTTACTTTTTTTCTCACATTTTCCCGGGCACTCAGGTATGAACTCAGAAATCATCTTGACCACTCTCTCCCTTAATATACCATTCTTAGTTACCACATCTTATGAATCTATTTCTATAATGGCCCTCAAATTCGTTTCCTCCTTTTAGTTTTTAATACTTTAGGCTATCATTAAATACTGTCTGGACTTCTAGTCTTGTTCATTTTTCTAATCTATTCATTTCTGCCTCGTTAAAATATCCAATAGCACATGCTTCATTATGGTTATTATGAACTCCATTATTCAAGAAGACTCAATGGCTCCTATTGCCTTTCCAGTCTGATCTCACTATACCGAAACCCCCAAATGCCTTGCCCTCCAGCCAAACCAGGTTACTCAATATTCTATACATTTGACATAGACTTTATTTTTGAACTTCCATGTTTTGACTGCTTAATAAATATTGAATTAAAAAAAGAATGATTCCTGAGAGTTGTATTTCAATAAATGGAAAAACCATTCACCAAAGTCAAGAGTCCAGGCTTTTTTAACTACTTGTAAATTTGGGCATGTAACTTATTCTTATTCCATTTCAGGTTTCTCATGTATGAAACTAGACAGTTACAATGATAAAAACAGGTAATATATTAACTGATAATTTTAAAGAATTTAAAATGTTATAAAAATGCAACAAAAACCACAAACTGTTACAATACCATTAGTACAATAGTAGTTCTTTCCATTTTGTTTCTATTTTAGTAAAACCACTCTAGGAGCTATAATCAAAATATTCATACTAGGAATTAAAGAAAATAATCAGTCAAAAGTTAAATGCTTTGTTTTGGATTAAAGGAAACCATTTTCTCCAGAGGAGACAAATTACTAATGACAAGGGGGAGCAATAAATCTATGTCCTCACAAAAATCTATACATACATTTACCTTTAAAAATAATGCAGTCACATGATTTTTTTTTAATAAAAGAGTATTTCTGTATATATGACTGGAAGAAAATGCATTAAAAATCAATTCTACTTTTCGCTGGATAGTGGGATTACAAGTGATTTTTAATTTCTTCTTTATGGTTTTCTATGTTTTGTGAATTTGCTAATTTCTATGTGCTATTTTTTACAATCAGGTTAAAAAAAAAAAAAAGCCAAAGTAATATATAACATGTCCCTTTTGGTAAAGCTAACAAAAAACCTGGCCATATGATGCCCTCCCAGAGCCACACTGAATAGATGATGCCAGGTTAAGTCACCTACTTCATGGGGCTCAGCTCCACTTGTCCTTATGCCATCACTGCAACATTCCTTCAGATGGCCTTGGTACTCAATTTAATTCAAAATAGACACCTACAGCCCCAGTTAAAAATTTTTACAGAATGAGAATATAACTAGATGAACCATGTGAAATTGTTAATATTTAACCATTTCATTTCTGGTTAAATATTTTCTGATCTACAAAAATGGGAACTTCTATATGGCTCAACCTAACACTAAAAAATTAAAATAACCAAATCACAGAACTAAAACTGGCAGAAAGAGAAAGGAAACACCAAACGAAAAAGAGAAAAGATTGTTCAAATTACATTTATTCTTCTCCCAGCCTCCTCAGCAGTTTATCGATTATAGATGGAAAAGGATCAATCTCAGTGCTTCAAATTCATAAGATTCACTTCTGGGCATTATCTATCACTTATTATTTAGTAAAAATGAGCTTTAAATGTTGATTTATTTAGTTTTTAGTTCAGCTGATGTGGGTGTATTTATATCGATGTCATTCCAAACCCAATTTAATTCCTCCCTCTCCCTCATCTCGCACATTCATTCAATCACCAAGTGCCAAGGATTCTACCTGTGAAATTTCTCTCAAGAAGTTATCTCTTTCTCTATCCCTTCTACCACTAAAACAAGCCAAGTGACAATTATCTCTTGCAAGAATTGCTAACAGGTTTTGCTGCAATTTATCTTATTCCATTCTAACTCAATAATACAAATAATAACAATAACAAACCAAGTAACAATTATCTCTTGCCGGAATTACTAGGTTTTGCTGCAATTAATCTTACTCCATTCTAACTCAATGATAATATAAATAATAACAATAACTAAGTGGTTAATTTATACTTACCAGGGGCTATGAATTGTACTAAGCGTTTTCATGCATTCTCTAAGTTATTCTAACTACTCTACAAATAAGATACTATTATTACCCCATTTTACATATAGGAAACAAAAGGTTTAATTGTAAATTGCCTAATGTCAATGGCCTGAATACAAAACTAGGATTTGAATCAAGATAATCTACCTTTAGATGGACACACTAAATCACTTTGCATACGGCCTTCCAAACCTGAATATATGATTTGCCTACCTAAAATGACTTCCCATTGCCTGAGATATTAAATATGCCTTATTTAAGCTTTCTAAGATCTGGCTCCTACCTACCTTCTCTGACTTTACCGACTTTCACACTCTGAAACTGCCAAGCTCTTTATCACCCTTGAGAACATGCTTTTCCCCTTGACTTTTTTTTTGTGTGTGGTACGCGGGCCTCTCACTGCTGTGGCCTCTCCCGTTGCGGAGCACAGGCTCCGGACGCGCAGGCTCAGCGGCCATGGCTCACGGGCCTAGCCGCTCCGCGGCATGTGGGATCCTCCCAGACCGGGGCACGAACCCGTGTTCCCTGCATCGGCAGGCGGACTCTCAACCACTGCGCCACCAGGGAAGCCCTCCCCTTGACTTTTAACATCACACATGCCATGCACACATGCCCCCCTCTCCTACCACCACAATCCCCCTCCCTGGATAATTCTGAACAAGAGAACATTTTGAACCCTTAGATGAGAAGTCCTTGTCATTTGCTGCACAACAATATGTATCTTCTTTTCTATAACCCTCATGCAACTTTATTCCAAATGGTTAGTCAATTGCCTATTTCCCTCATTAGACTGTAGATTCCCCCAAACCAGAGAACAGGTATATTTTATTCATGGGCATAACCATAAGACCTTAGCACACGGCTGGCACAAAGCAGGCTTTCAAAGGTATTTCTGATTGACTAAACAACAAATGCCTAATAAAACAACAGGCATTTGTTTTTGGATGGGAAGACCTTTCAAGTAAAATCCTAGTATGGTAACAGTTTAATTCACCCATAATTATTAGGTTGATGCATGTGAAATTGCCTATTTGTAAATCAAACACTGTCAGATATCAGCAAATTTAATATGACCAAACCTAATTATGTTTTTATAGTCTTATAATTCGGAAAGAACTTGAAAACTGCCTGGACAGATATGACTTACAGAAACTCATCAGAGGGTACATGAATTTACAAAGATGGGATATAGGGACTTAAAAATTATTTCCACAAATAACAATTTAAAGGAATAGTATCTCAGTCCATTAGAAATGCTATAACAAAAATACCATAGACTGAATTGCCTATAAACAATAAATTTATTTCTCATAGTCTCGGAGACTGGGAAGCCCAAGATCAAGGTGTTGGCAATTTGGTGTCTGGTGAGAATCCAGTCATCTTACACTGTGTCCTCACATGGCAGAAGGGGCAAGGGAGCTTTCTATGGTCTTTTTCTATAAGGATACTAAACCCATTCATGAGGGCTCTACCCCCTTGAGAGGCCCCTTGAATCTTGAATCTCCTCTCAAAGGCCCCACCTCCAAACACCATCACATTGTTGGGGTTGGGGGTGGTGTTAGGGTTTCAACATATGAATTTTGGGGAGCCAAGAACATTCAGTCTATAGCTGACCTACTATGGCAACTGCTACAGGGGAGCAGACAATAAAGTTCTGAAAGTCCACTGGCAATCTGTTTTCTTACAGAATCAGACAGCAAGAGTACTGAGTTGTGAAACAGTAGAATCACAGGCTATTTTGGGGGCAGGACTCAAACATTCCATTTCATTTTTCCAGAATGTTAAAGCTTAAAGGAAACTTAAAGGAAGCTCAACCATTTACTTCAGCAACCTCATTTCAGGAGAGAAAAGGAAATAGTCAGAACTTCATCTGAGTTCATGTAAGCCAGTGGCAGAGTTGAAACTAGTACCCAGACACTTCCTAACTTCATGGCCAGTGATCTTTTTGCTAACTTGATCCCCTTTTTGTTTAGTATCCACAGGAGGTTCTTATGATTAAATATTATTGAATCCTTGACTATTACCAAATCGACCAGAAAGAGATTTTTAATTAAAACGAAGTTATAATTAGATATTTAAATTATTTTTCCAGACTGGTAAAATGTGGCTGGGCCTCCAGGGCTTCCCCTGGACAATCAGAAATGTAAATATCGATTATGTGGCTCTGGATAAAAACTTGAAATTCATGGCAAAAGACTGTTACCACTGAGTTTTGCCACTAAAATCACTAGCGAAAACAATGCAAATAGGTTTCAGAAAACACAAGGCTGACTGGATGGAAGGAAAGAGAAACATCAGAACACGCTGCTATTTCATTATTCTTTTATTTATTAAAAGAATCTGTTAAGGAAGCCATTCTGATGTAACTTTTTGGTACTAAGCAAAATAAATAGTCACTGATATAAAAGGTGAAAAATAACCAAAAGAAAGAAGGACCAGAGGATGATTCTGGAAGCTGGAGACCAGAAAGCACCCTCTTTTCCCTCCATTCTCAACTCCAATTTACTTGATTTACCAGACCCAAATAACTATAGGTCTTACAGCTGGGAGTAAGAGAGCCCATAAGAGTCCCTATGGATTACTTAGGACTTCTTTCCCCTGTGCCTGACAAGTTCTAACTAGAGACTAGGGCTGAGGAACCCTCTGTCAAAGACCAGAAAGAACAGAAAACTAAAAATCCAGGAGTATTTGGTCTGCAGAAATTTATTCCATGAAGCCAAGGGTAGTTCAATATCAAAAAGTCTGTCATATGTTGATAACATATCTACTCCAACAACAAGTTAAAGAAAATCATATTCACTATTAAGTGCTGAAAAAGTCCTTCATAAAATTTCAGTAGACATTCCTAATAAAATCAAAGCCTGAGATAGAATAAAATCACTTAAATAAAATAAAAAGTATTACCAAAAAACCCCCACAACTGAATAGCATACTTTCCAGAAGTCTGAATCACTAAGACCATTTTAATTAAAATCAGGAACTCAATAGGGATGCTATCACCACCATCATTAAACACTGTCTTAAAGCTTCTATCAAATATAAAAACAAGAAAATTTAGTAGCCTGCATAAACAGTGAAAAAAGAAGTGAAACTGTTTTTGCTGCTATTATATACCTGAAAATCTTAAAAGATGCTAGTATAAAATTAGGAGGATTAATCAAAGTATCAAGAGGTAGATGGATAGAGAATTAGAAAAAACTAATGTCTATTCTCTGTTGTAGCAATTAGCTACTTAGAAATGGAAATCAGAAAAAAAATATTCCATTTGCTATAGCGACAACACTCTAAGATAATTCTTAGGAATAAATTTAACAAAAGAGGAACAAGACATATATGAAGGCAACTCTGAAGTCTTCAACAGACATAAGACCTTGACAAGTGGAAAGGCATACTATATTCTCAGATGTAAAGATATTATAACAATGTATCTTATAACCTAAATTAATATGTGAATTAAATGTAATTCAAACTAGAATCCTTATATAACTTTTCAGGATAATGGTGAGACTGGAGAAAATGACTTTAAAGTTCATATGGAAGATTAAATATGCAAAAATAGATAAGAAAAATATGAAACAGGAAACAGTGAAAAAAAAGACTTGCTTTACTGGATATTAGAAAATAACTCAGAGCCTCTTTAACCAAAACAGTATTGGTATAGGAATACACAAAAATAAATAAATAGAACAAGCTAGAAATCAATCCCAGCATATATGAGAATTTAAGATATAACAAACATGGCAGTTCTACTCAGTAGGAAAATAGAAGTAGCACAACTGGTTATCCATCTGGGAGAAAGTAAAATTGGACTGCTATCATATGCCATGTACAAAAATAAATTCCAGATGGATTAAAGACATAAAAATATAACACCCACAATAAAATTCACAAGGAAACGTTGGAAAGTATATTTACAAAATCTAGAGGTAGGAGAGACCTTAACCAAGATGCAATTTTCTACATAAAAATTGAAAGTGTTTCGTATGGCATGAAACCATAAAGTTAATATAAATCTAAAATTCTAGAAAGATATTTATAATGAAGCTACAAAGAATATAATTATATAAAGTACTTAGAAACTGACATCTTAAAGTTAATAGAAAAATATACAAAGAATATAAAGAGATGGAAGAGCAAATCGCTCAAATTTATTTGTAGTCAGGGAACTGCAAACTAAAGACATACTGGCATCACTTACATCCACTGACAGCAAAAATTACAGTGATAACTAATACTGTTTGGGATATGTGTTAATAGGTACGTTCCTACATTGCTGGTGGAACTGTGAACTGTCATAGCCTTTCACAGAGGCAATCTGGACATAAGTAAATTAAATACAAAAATTAAATAACAAGTTTAAAAAACATATTACCCTTTGATCCAACAATCACACTACTGAGACTATTCAATAAAAGTCAAAGATTTAGAACATGTGTAAGATTGTTTAGTAAACACTATTTAGAGGCTAAAAACTTGAAACAAAATAAATGCCTACCAATAGAAGAATAACTGAATAAAAGATTGCACTGTCTTAGTCTGCCTGGGTTTCTATAACAAAACACCATAGACTGGATGGCTTATAAACAGCAGAATTTTATTGCTCACAATTCTGGAGGCTAGAAGTCTAAGATCAGAGTGCCACACAGCTGGGCTCTGGTGAAGGCCCTCTTCTGGGCTACACACTGCCGACTTCTAGTTGTATCCTCACATGGTGGAAGGTGGGGAGGATCTTTCCCGAGACTCTTTTATAATGGTGCTAACCCAAGCATGAGGGTTCTGCCTTCATGGCCTAATCACCTCCCTATCACCTTGGTATAGTGGTTAGGTTTCAACATGAATTTTAAGGGACACAGTCAGACCATAGCACCTGCTATCAATATACACAAGAGGGCTTCCCTGGTGGCGCAGTGGTTGAGGGTCCGCCTGCCGATGCAGAGGACGCGGGTTCGTGCCCCGGTCCGGGAAGATCCCACATGCCGCGGAGCAGCTGGGCCCGTGAGCCATGGCCGCTGAGCCTGCACGTCCGGAGCCTGTGCTCCGCAACGGGAGAGGCCACAACAGTGAGAGGCCCACGTACCGCAAAAAACAAAAACAAAAACAAAACAAAAAACAACACAAGAATGTTCACAGCAGCTTTATAAAAGCTAAAACGGGGAGAAATTAAAAAAGCCACAAACATCTATAATAGCAGAACAGATTTTTTTAAAGTGTGATTTATTCATACAATGGAATATTCTCAGCAATTAAAAAAACGAAAACAAATATAAAACAAACTACTGATACACTCCCAAAATGGATGACCAAAAGAAGTCAAATATGAATGAGTACATGCTGCATGACTGTATGATTGTTTGTAAATAAAGTTCAAGAATAATCAAAACTAATCCAGGGAAAGATTACAGTAAGTCCCCTACATA